TACAGCATCATCACCGCATCTCGTGCTCCACTGATGACGCTCCCTGACACACACCTAACATTTGATTGTACTATTTTTGCATTCAAATGCAAATGTTTATTTTAAATTCGACTTATATCATTTTTTTATTCACAATCTCCTCATAACAGGCAGGCACAGCGCTCAATTCAGCATGTGTTTGTGTGTGCTGTCTGCGTCACTCATAGCACGTGCCTATATTGTGCACTATATCGAACATTTTTTATATCATTATCGAAGAAGGTGTACCGTCGATAAATATCGATACCGTTTTATCGCCCAGGCTTATTCACAAGCTTGCGATTCGATTCGATTCCCATTTCGATTCAATTCGATTCAATATCGATTATTTTGGATCTCAGGTACACATGCCAAATTCTCTCAAGGAAAAAAATTCTCTTTAAGGGGTCATATGATGCGATTTCAATTGTTCCTTTCTCTTTGAAGTGTTACAAGCTCTTGGTGCATAAAGAAGATCTGTAAAGTTGCAAAGACTAAAGTCTCAAATCCAAAGAGAAATCGGGCCAAAAATCATGTAGTGTATTCCAGCCATAAGAGACTACAGGTAAGTTGACATCCATTTAAAAAGAGGTTTCATAATGAAGCTAGTTTCTGTGTTCATCCCCATGGATTAAATGTTTTATTGGTTTGTTTTATTTGATTTTTGAATGTGTTACGTTACAGCTGAATGTGGACTAGTCTAGATGTTGCAATGTGCTTAGATGGCACTTCATTATGAATATATAACTGATCGACTTGAATGCCTTGTTGCTTGATTTTTGTGTTCTGTTTTTTTTTTTTGATTTACTTTGTACATTTAAAAAATTTTTAAATTATTCTTTCTCAAATTAAATATTTTTGTGTGAGAGATTAGTATTTTATTTTAACATAACTTTTTGCACTGAAACCAATATCTTGTGCACTAAAAATGTCACAATGTAGATTTTGGTGAGCTTAATAGGTACGTTTACCCTAATATTCTTTTTAGCAACATCATATGACCCCTTTAACTAATGCTGTAAAATATACATGAGAGTCAGTTGGTACGCTACTACATTACTATAATATTGAAGGTTAAAACTGACTGATTTTTTAGGCTATACAACGGTGTAAATTACACTTAATTAAGTTTTTAATAATAAAAAGTTACAATTAGGCCTACATAATAATATTTCTTCTTCGATTTGTTTTTTTTTATATATATATATATATATTTGGCTGTCATAAAAAGTATAAATTAAACATTGAAGAACAGTGAATATATTACAGTGGTGTGAAAAAGTGTTGGCCCCCTTCCTGATTTCTTATTTTTTTGCATGTTTGTCACACTTGAAGGGGGCCAACACTTTTTCACACCACTGTATATGGTGTATACATTTAGCAAAATGCCCCTCTCTACAGTTTATTTTTCTACCGGACTAATGAGTTTATGGTCACCAAATGTTTTTCTGAGGTAAATGTGACGTTACGTGACATACAAGCCATTATATTGGCGATATTGACTGAAACACTGATTGAGTGATTACATGAGACAGATACGGATTGTAATGTTGCACTATTTCTTTTATACTTACCTTCGGATGTTTAGTCATGTTTATTTTGTGCTGAAACTGGTATTAATGTGGAGGAGATGATTAGTTCACGTGCACTACGCACTGCCGCTTTTATTGAACTGAGGCGCTACAGCGATCTGTCACTCCAGATTAAACAGTGCCAAAACAGCATTTATTGTTTGAATACTGCAATACAATGGGCAGAATTTGAAATCTGAGACTTTGTTTCATATTAAAAGTGCCAAAGCACAATGCTTATTGCGATATATTGGATGGGAAGTGCCCTTCAATGTTCCATCCATTAACTGAAAACAGGCTAGACAAATCTATTCTTGGGATTTAAGAATTGATATCGTTTCGTAAAAATGAGAATCGATTAAAATAGAGATATCTATACTAGCCCTAGTATAAATAATTCAATTTAATGATGTCAAATGAAACAGACATAAAACTGATCAAATTAATTACACAATAATTGTTTTTAAGACATTTTTAGACTATTTAATGCAATTTTAAAATAATTTAAGCCCAAACGTGTAGTAATGCAAAGACCATAAACTGACACAAGAAAGAGGTCACATTTCTGTTTATTGGCCCACTTTGAGGTTTGTTGTTGATGCTGATCTCAAAACAGCCAAATATCGACCACTTTACTGACTGGCTGATGTAACACACTGTGTCCCAATTCACCTACTTATACTATGCCTTAAAAGTACTAGGCCTATGACATTTTTTCCTGAAGAACTTTTGAGTGCGTAGTAGATGAGTAAGCAAGTTTTGGCAAATACTACCACGCCATAATAGCACTTTAATGGACCCCGCTGTTGCATCCCGTCACTGTAAACTGGATTCATGCACCAATTCTTCACAGCAGATCTAACTTCAAATACTATTTAGGCTGAATGGCATGTGAATTGGGATGCAGCATCAGCCCATCGCCAGTCCTACAAATGGGGTATTTTATTTCTTAGACTGTTTTTACGATGTTCACTCCATATTTTGCAAAACTGAGAATTGTGTCATAATTTACACACTCAAGTTGCTTCATGAGGTATGACTTTCTTTTTTCCGTGGAACTCAAAAAAAAAACAGCTTTGGTCCCCATTTACTTTCATTGCATCCTCTTTCAAACAATGACAACCAAAATATGACTCAGTCTTCCATTCTAATATCAAATGTTGGTAACACGTGTTTGGAAAGACATGAGAATGAGTAAATGATAACTTTTGGAGTGCACTATATGCTACAACAAGCTAAGCCACAGCCATTGTTATTTCAAATTTTGTGCCGATTCACTGTCCAATGTAAATCTAACAAACCAAGAATTCACTAAACTGCAAGCCACTGTACTTCCACTGGGTTTTTAAGGTAGAATATTGCTTAAACACTTAATATCCTCTTAAACTTCTAACATAATACATTTTGAGTGTCAAAAAGACGTAATTATGAACTTTCCTCCTAATATGTCATTGTTAATATTATGAACAGGGTTCACCAAGCTCGCAAACAAGTACCAACGTGTTGCTGTCAACAGCTGGAAGTGTTGCCAAAGTACGAAATGCCTCACACTCAAATAAACGTTTTTGTGACATTCCTAGAGAATGCCAGTATTAAATAACCAGTATTAAATACCTTTGCCATCTGTGTTTAAGGTTATTTGGCCAGTGTCGGAGTAATTAGGAGTGAATTTCTCCTCACATTTCTAGTGCATGTGTCACACTGACAGACGTTAGCTTAGCCACAATGCTCTAACCGTGCCATGTCACTGCTAAAACCACAACCGACACTCTGTAAAACAGCTTCAAACTAACTTTCACAACAGGGTAAGTTACTGACAGAATGAATAACGCGTTTTTGAGCGTGAAACCAAATCATTTAGATGTTTGTCTCGGGTGAATTACCGCCACAGCTGCATTAGCCTAGCGCGCTAACTCAAACTAGCCCAAAGTTCTGTCAACTTTTCCTCAGCTCTTTCTGTTGTAAAACCATATTAGTCGGATACCCAGTTCCTCGTCGGCTCAAAATGTCCTTGTTGCGACACAGTAAACCGAAAAAGTGGCACGATAATCTGTTTTGAATTTGACAGGAGGGAATGAAGCTAAACTCTTACCAGGAAATGCCAGCTGAGCTTCACGCGCGCTGAACTGGACCTCGCGCCGAGGATGAGGATGAGGATGAGGAGGAGGATGGTCTCTCAGTCTGTCAAGGTCGAGCTCCTGTTAAGTTCCTGCGTGACGCCGCGACACACACGCGAGCTGTTGACGCGCCTACACAGAGAGAGAGAGAGAGAGAGAGAGAGAGAGAGAGAGAGAGAGAGAGAGAGAGAGAGAGAGAGAGATAGTTAGTGTGTGTTAGTGTGTGTGTGTGTGTGTGTGTGTGTGTGCGCGTGCAATGTTTCAAGCTCAGGGAATTCAAGTGTGGTACTGTAGGACGCCACATTTGCAATGAATCAGTTTGTGAAATTTCATCCCTGCTAGATATTCCACAGTCAATTGTAAGTGGTATTATTGGAAAGTGGAAGCATTTAGGAAAAGCAGCAACTCAGCCATGAAGTGGAAGACCACATAAAGTCACAGAGCAGGGTCACAAGTGCGTGGTGCGTAAGAGTCGACAACGCTCTGCTGATTCCATAGCTGAAGAGTTACCTACTTCCACAGGCATTAATATCAGCTGGAGCTTCGTGGAGTGGGTTTCCATGGGTGAGCAGCTTCATGCCAGCCTCACATCACCAAGTACAATGCCAAGTTTCAGATGGAGTGGTGTAAAGTGATGTAAAGCCACCACTGGACTCTGGAGCAAACCTGTTCTGCGGAGTGATGAATCACGCTTCTCTGTTTGATCGTCTGATGGGTGAGTCTGTTTTTGGTTGATGGCTGAAGAATGTTACTTGCCTGACTGCATTGTGCCAGCTGTAAAGTTTGATGGAGGAGAGATATTGGTATGGGGTTGTTTTTCAGGGGTTGGGCTGGGCCCCTTACTTCCAGTAAAGGAAAATCTTAATGCTTCAGCATACCAAGACATTTTGTGCAATGCTATGCTTCCAACTTTGTGGGAACAGTTTGGGGATGGCCCTTTTCTATTCCAGCATGACTGTGCCCCATGCACAAAGCAAGGTCCTTAAAAACTCATCCATGACTGGCAAACGCAGAGCCCTGACCTTAACCCCACTGAATCCCTTTGAACTGCAATGGAGATTGCAAGCCGGGCATTCCCGTCCAAGATCTGTGCCTGATCTCACAAATGCTCTATGGAATTAATGGGCAAAAATTCCCACAGAAACACTCTTGTGGAAAGCCTTCCCAGAAGAGTGGAAGCTATTATTGCTGCAAAGGGGGACTAACTCCATATTAATGTCTATGTATTTGGAATGCAAAATCACTAAAGTCCCTGTTGGTGTAATGGTCAGGTTTCCCAATACTTTGATCCATACAGAGTATTTAAATATGTGTAAATATGAAATCATTTTGTATTTTTTGTTTTATTTTATAAATGTCTCGCTCTAAAACACCTGCAGTTTTCCCCGTAGTTATTACAGCTGGATCATATCACACCTAATATTATCTCATCTTATCAGGAAAACTTACGAACAAACAGCATAAACCTCACAATTTGTTGTGATTTCCTTAATTATGCGCAACACCACAGTTCACCCTTATTTAGCCACCAACTTTCCTTGATTTTGATGTTGATAGGCCTGTATTATCTGTGACTGCAAGTTCAAAGATTGTTTGTGAAGCATGCTAGAAAACATAAAGGCATTTTGTATTTAGTTACAAAACATTAATCATATCAGCATATCTACTATATATAAACTTGGTTAGTGTCAAGTTAATTTAAAAAGATCTTGTTAACACCTCACAGCATTAACACTCCAATTTTATCCATATAAACAATATTATGTATTGTCAGCATAAACATTTCCGCAAGACGCTCACATGATACTATACAGTAGTATTTGATTCAATCAGAGCATTTGAGGGGAGCATTTTCTGTTCTGTATTAGGAAAGTAACAATGTTTTCTCCTACATTTTGACAGTTGATAATCAACAAGTGTTGTGCGCTGCTTTTCTTTCTTTTTTTCTGTCTTGACACTTCAATAGCAGTTCTGCTAACCTCCTCACAAATACCATATAAGAAAGGTAAAGCACACACTCTGTGTTTTCCCCTCTTCTTGAACAAGCGTTGAAGATTAAAAGAAACCTCTGCGGAAAATCTGTCAATTCTGTTGGCGAATAACGGCAAGCTGGAATTTAATGGCATGAGTTATATTGGGCTCCCTCAACACCCACATTTTGCTCTCAATGAGATCAATGCTGCTTCATGACAGATAGGGACTGTCTTTAGTATCTTCAAATTTCTGGTTTCTGAGGGAATAATTAGATGGATAAGAGGCAGCTCTTGTGACTGCACACGGGAGCTCTGGTTCAACACCGCAGTCTGTTGTCTTGAAATCTGTGTAATAATCAGATTGTGTCGATTGTTCTAAAAGTAGAACGGCGGCGGTTCCGTAATATTAACTTTTTATTTTTTTTTAGATATTTGTTTTGCCAAAATCCTTGTTTGATTGAGTATTTTTCTGGAATGTAGATGAGCTTCCACGTCTTTTTTCGGGTCTTGTTTGTCTTTACCCCCAGACAATGTACTTTTTTTGGTAGTGCACGAAAGGGTCGCGCTGTAGTAGAAAAAAAACAGCCAGCTTGATTTGATTTATTAATGCGACTGTCGATAAAAAAAGTTATTCAAATCAAATCTTCACCTCTATGTATGTAAACACACACGCTGTTACACATGTGTCCTTTTGTCTGCTTCTATTTTCTTGTGTGTCTGCAGTTGTGGAATTCTGTTCTATCTATTCTATGTTTTCATAATATACTATAATAATATACATCTATTTATCATCACTTGAGGGCCATCTCTTAGATATTGTGCATGTTTTCTTAATGACACAATTTTGAAATATGTACAAGCTAAGCTTTCCGTGGATGTGAATCTCAATCTTAAATATTTCATCATCCATTATTTAATTATAGTCAAAATGAATTATTTCAGCATTGACTAAAACATGTGTAAAGCTTTAAAATAAATGTCAAGTTGTTAGAAATGTGCAGTTGTTAAAATAAAACACTAATACAAATAATATATATGATTTAAGATGTCCTGATTAATATGTTAGCAAAATTATGATCAGAATTGACTATCATTTCTGTATGGATTATACAGACTTTATATGATTTTTATCATATTGTTGTTTCTAGAAACCAGTTTTGCCACTTAACCTGCGGTGTGATTTCAGAATTATAGTATTTTGGGTCATTTGTACATGTACAGTACAGTATGGTTCAATTTAGAAAATGTAAAACATAAACAACAACAAGAGCCTATTAAAAGGCCAAATACTAAATAAAAAAGCAAACAAGGCAAAGCATCATTAAATGTTTACTACATTTTGAATCATAGTTTTAAAAGACCTTTCAAAGCTTGTTTGTAATAGTGTTCTTGCACAAAAAAAGGGAAAATGTTACCTTAAAGTGTTATTTATATGAATTGATATTTAAAAATAACTATAATCTAGCCAAGTTTATTTAGCCATTTCAGAAGAAAATTATAATTATATATTTAAAATTATATATGCTAATTTAGAAATAAAATTGTACATTCTTATACATTTTACCTGTTACCTGACAAAACAAATATATCTATAGAAAATTACATTTAATATTTATTTACAACCTATACATTTAATTTTTACCTACAAAATATATTTTCAAAAATGATGACAGACTGATAGACAGATAGATAGATAGATAGATAGATAGATAGATAGATAGATAGATGCACCTGTATAAATGTGGTTTTGTGTACATGTGCCTGATTTCACCTACTTACCTGACCTGCATGTAAATCATTGACCTCTGACCTTTCCGTTCACAAATATCTGATGTGTTTTCTGCATCTGCTGCCGCTGCTGCTAAGGGTCACAGAGTATCTCTCTCTGTGTGTGTGTGTGTGTGTGTGTGTGTGTGCATGTTCAGTGCAGACCGCTACATGAGCATGCACTTTTGACAGAGTAGGAGGCAGTGATATGCATACTTTCCTGGGATAAAAGGTGCTGGTGTGGAGCTGCCACTGTCTGGAAACACACACACACACACACACACACACACACACACACACACACACGCACACATACAGAGCACCAAGTTGACTGTACACATCGTCTGACACTGGGCTTCTTGCTTTCTCGTCTCAGCAGTGTATGTGCAATGTACCTGTCTGTGTGTGTGTGTGTGTGTCCCGCTCAGGCTCACTCTACCGTGTCAGTCACACGAGCACCTGAGTCCACATCACACACATCAGCTGTTTACACACCATCCTGTGTTCTGAACCACAGATATTCTCTAGAGAGACACCATTGAGAATCCCCAGAGGAATATTTTATTGCTCAGAGGTTTCTCTTTCATGGCTCATGGAGTGCACTTTGTGATAATGTAAAATTCAAAGTTTTACTTTAAAGTGCATTTTATATTTACATTAAATCATTTAGCAGATGCTTTTATCAAAGTGACTTACAAATGAGGACAATAGAAGCAATCAAAATTTTAAAGTATGTTTTGATGATCTTTTTTCATGCTTTAAAGAAGTACACTTAATTTGATGTGTTGACTAACATAATAAAGCACATGTAAAGTACTTGTTAAAATTTTAACTGTAGTGTTATTTGATATTAAATTTAAAGTGTATCTATTTTAAATGTATTAAATTGTGACTTCATCATTACAAATGTGTAATTGCAAATATATGTAAATACATGACATACAAGTGTCGATAGAAATTATATTAAAGTATATTTTAGTTTATCATAAATGCTTGTCAGTACATTCTGAAGTATAGTTTAACCATATTTCAAAGACAAAATGCACTCCAAAATTCAACTAATTGCTTTTAATAAAATTAATTTAAACTATAATACATTTAATTGTAAATAACATGCAATTAAGTGTCTGAAAACATTACATTCATTTCACACTTAAGTATTAAGTTAAGTGCTATTTTTAAAAGTATATGCTAAAGAGTTTTTCTTCTACGGGATACCATAGCTTTATACTAGCTTTACTATACTAGCTACTATACTTTACTAGCTTTAGCATAAATTCATGGAAGAATTTGATAAACATTTCAGCTCATATTGAGATGTCTGACTTCAAATTTGGTAAATCAAAGCGCAGTTTTAGACATTATGATGTCTTAAATGCTATTTGAAAAGCAATTTCTCTCAATTTAATCTCATTGCCATCTAGGAGAGGCTATTGAGATGTGTTTTTATTTTATCTGTGTTTACATCCATGTCTGTGTGTGTGTGTGTGTGTCCCGCTCAGGCTCACTCTACCGTGTCAGTCACACGAGCACCTGAGTCCACATCACACACATCAGCTGTTTACACACCATCCTGTGTTCTGAACCACAGATATTCTCTAGAGAGACACCATTGAGAATCCCCAGAGGAATATTTTATTGCTCAGAGGTTTCTCTTTCATGGCTCATGGAGTGCACTTTGTGATAATGTAAAATTCAAAGTTTTACTTTAAAGTGCATTTTATATTTACATTAAATCATTTAGCAGATGCTTTTATCAAAGTGACTTACAAATGAGGACAATAGAAGCAATCAAAATTTTAAAGTATGTTTTGATGATCTTTTTTCATGCTTTAAAGAAGTACACTTAATTTGATGTGTTGACTAACATAATAAAGCACATGTAAAGTACTTGTTAAAATTTTAACTGTAGTGTTATTTGATATTAAATTTAAAGTGTATCTATTTTAAATGTATTAAATTGTGACTTCATCATTACAAATGTGTAATTGCAAATATATGTAAATACATGACATACAAGTGTCGATAGAAATTATATTAAAGTATATTTTAGTTTATCATAAATGCTTGTCAGTACATTCTGAAGTATAGTTTAACCATATTTCAAAGACAAAATGCACTCCAAAATTCAACTAATTGCTTTTAATAAAATTAATTTAAACTATAATACATTTAATTGTAAATAACATGCAATTAAGTGTCTGAAAACATTACATTCATTTCACACTTAAGTATTAAGTTAAGTGCTATTTTTAAAAGTATATGCTAAAGAGTTTTTCTTCTACGGGATACCATAGCTTTATACTAGCTTTACTATACTAGCTACTATACTTTACTAGCTTTAGCATAAATTCATGGAAGAATTTGATAAACATTTCAGCTCATATTGAGATGTCTGACTTCAAATTTGGTAAATCAAAGCGCAGTTTTAGACATTATGATGTCTTAAATGCTATTTGAAAAGCAATTTCTCTCAATTTAATCTCATTGCCATCTAGGAGAGGCTATTGAGATGTGTTTTTATTTTATCTGTGTTTACATCCATCATTTTTGTACATCTATAGTCATAGGTGTCCAATGTGGAACATAGAAGAAAATCTTTTATGATCCACCGAAGAAAGTAAGTTATATAGATTAGAAACAACATGAGGGTGATTAAGTGACAGAATTATCATTTTTGGGTGAACTGTCTCTTTAATAGTGTGGTAGGTTTTTTTTTGGGGGGGGGGGGGGTTATGTTGTGGCCTTTTTTTTTTTTTTTGGGGGGGGGGGGGGTTTGTTGTGGTCTATTTTTTTTTTTTTTAAAGGCGTGTTAGATGTTTTTGCAACATAAACCCAGTAGTATAGCTTGCTCAATATGTAAACAATCACAAACCTTCCAGATTCCTCATGCAGTTTGGCTCCTTGTGTGTGTGTTTCCATATAATTGCAGTCTGCATGCAGGGGAGGACGGCATCCATCTTCCTGTTTGCTTCTGGTTATGGTGACCGTCCACTCCTCCGAGTGTGTAACAAATCCTTCAGCGCCTCTTTTTGAACTCTCAAGGTCCCTTGTTTCCAAAGAATTCCCTGCGGTCACGGGTGTTAAGAGCCTCTTGTTTGCTTAGCCCAAAGGACAACCGACTACTGAATGTCACGTATAAACGGGAGGAATTCAGATTCTAAATGTATATTTTAAATGACTATACTGCGTAATAACCATAAGCTTACAAAATCTGAAAATGTACCTTCCATTGATGTGACCTAATGCATCTAGGTTGATTCAGTCTAATTACGTGACTTAGATGTTACCACATGAAGCACATTTCAGCTTGCCTGACTAAGCATTTTTACAAAGGAAGCGCAGAAATTGAAAGGAATTAGGTTTTTGTGGTCATCCAGCATGTGCAGATCACTGATGGAGCTCGAAGCTTCATTGACATGGAGCAGGAATTCAACACTTTACTGTTTACTAGGCTCCCATGTGGCCCAATGCTCCCCCCCCCACACACACTTAAGAGTATAACACAAGCTTGGTTTAATAAAACGTACTTTTTGGATACAGTAAGGAAAAATTCAACATAATATTTTAAAACATTTACCACTACATCAAACTTAAAATAAAAAACGAGGGAGTATTTCCCACCTTTATTTTATTAACTAACACCACGATGCAAGAATGTGTTACTAGGAAAATTAGGGAACCCAAAAAATACTGTTTTCTAAGATAACCAGCTTTTATTGTCAAATCAAGCATGCTTTTACTGATTTTTTTTTCCACTGTTGTTTTGTGTTAAGATTTTGGATTCACAAGGAAAATTCCCTTGAAGTTTATAGCATACAAGAGACAACAAATGATACATCAATATAAAATATCCATCTGAAATTGCTGTCAACAACTTGAAGTGCATGCAAAGAAAATTACTTTTTTTTTTTTTTTTTACTTGTTTTCATTTTAAATACAGCCATATGGTGTTCCTTTCCAGCTTCTCTTGGTCGGACATTTTGCTGCCAAGTTTTAGGAAGGCTGTGCGTTCATGGTAAGTGACATTTGTTGCACAGGAATGTTTTACGGCAAGCAGAATTACAAGGTTGTGTGTGTGTAGACATGCATGCGTGCGTAGATCCCGTCTCCTGCAGTCGCCTCTTGGAGCAAGGTTGCTCTGTTTTGTATCTACAGTTCTGTACAGTTGATTTTTCTTTGCCTTTCTGCCTCATTTCGGTGGTAAGAAAAAATATCCCATTTGTTGTGGATTCTCTGGTTTTTAAACATTCAGGACAAATTTTTTTTTTTTTTGAAGGAAAAGAGAAAGAAATTTTGGAACACATTTTTGGTAGATTTTTTTTTGTTGTCGTTTAAATCACTCTAAAATCTGATCCTAATATTGTCTTTGTCTTCAATGGTGAAGAACTCCGATCAAAGCTTCTTTTAATACTTTAGGGAATTTTCAAACGTCGTGAAGTATGGCTGTAATGCCCCAAGATTTGTTCTCCCTGAAAGAAAATCATAAAGTAACAATATATTAAACTACAGAGCAACCTTGCTTTGAGAGGTTTATGTTTACTAGTTGTTCTAGCATTCCTGTGCTTGGTATTTCTGTATAAAATAGCCATGTTCATGCATTAAAAAGCATTTTTTTCTTCTTGACTACAGGGCTTTGGTTCAAATCCATGGGGCATTACTTTAACAACAGAAACAAGTCTGAAATCGATGTCAGAATGAAAGCAAGACAAGGTTCGATCTGTCATATCGTGTTGTTTTTGGTGTGAGCAGAGGTTTAAATCTGAAAGCAACACAAAAATGGTTTGTGTAATGAAAAATAAAACGCTTGTAAAGCAAAGTAGTTTTATTCACACAAATTTAATAAGATACAACAACTGTTTGGTCCATAAATATTTAAGGGGAAATAGTTTCTATACACCATCTTTTTTCAAGAAACAAGGACAATCTTGATAGAACACGTACTGTACTATTAACACGAAGATCAATATATAGGATTCTCGGATTTACCAACTAGTTCTGAAAGAGTGCACAACCGCCTTCTATGACGTCGCCGCCCCCTTGTAACGGAATACACCATTAAAAGATCTTCAGAAAAATCAGATGAAAAACAGAACAGTACAAAACTAGTGAGGCGTTCCAAGGATGGAAATCATTTAACAAACAAACAAACAAACGGAGAAACCGGAACAAAACGGGGTGATGCGTGTCGTTCCTAATTAACTTCCTGCTTAGCATTCACAAATCACTCATAATGCTTCCTCATAAGCATTATGCACTCATAATGGATATCTTCATTCAGAATAGTTGTTCCACTATTTGAGGGCCCGACGAACAACCCAGGCCAACTTATGATCGGATTCGCACCACATCGTGGCAATTTAATGTTTCGAATTGTCCAGCGTCAGTGACAAAACAGACCTAAATTGAGGTTACAGCATCCACTTGGCATGGGAAACATTCCCAACGGGCATAATATAAGAATATTTTGTTTCCTAAACATATTTTTGGAAATGTCATCGAATACATTTAGATTTCACTACCAAAATATGCAGTAAACATAGCATGTTCTGTATGTATGCAGACACACTTTGTTTTAATACGCGTGGCGGGTAAAAATTTAAATTATATAAATAAAATTAATCTAAAATTATCACAAAAACAAATCAATTGACAAGTACTACAGACTCAGCTGCCACGCGATTACAAATGCTACACATAGTAGGTCTCGTCTTACATTTACAAAGGTCTTTCTGTGGTCGCCAAAGGGTTTTTTTGTTTTGGAAAATAAAAATAGAATCTGAAAATAAAGGGGGTAAAAGACAAAAAAAAAAAAAAAAGAAAAAAAAAGCTAATCTGTGTTAGAAAAGGTTCGTCAAGGTAGTTTGTGGGGGGCTCCCAGATTCGTGGCTGTCCAAACTAGAGGTCACTGATGTTACTACGGTGATAGAGGGATTGGTCAGGTCAGTTAGTGTGGTGGCCGTGCTGGGTGGGGTCAGAGCACCGCTGTCGGAAGAGGGCGGTGGAAGTGATGTGCCCTCAGCCTTATCAACACCCCCATTCTCCTGCCGCAAAACGTTCCTTCTGAATTTGGCCCGTGCGTTTTGGAACCAAACCTGCAAACCAATCCCAGTGTCTTTACTCTTTTTTTGTGCTTTGCTTCGAATTGTCATATTTTTGCCTACTTATAAGTCATATCATTTAACATCACAAACTTAATCACTACTAAACAATGCCAAAGTGAATCGAAAGCCAGTAACAGGCCTCAACTTTTACTAGGGATTCTACTGGAAAACATGGACCATGTTCCAAATTCACTTTCAAGCTTCCCCAATGTTTTTTTTTTTGGTGCACAAGTATTGCCCCTTGAATTATGCCTCTATTTAGTAAAATTTGTGTAACTACATGACAACAACAACAACAAAAAAAATGATCGATGGATTGAAACGAAAAGCAAAATGATGAGAAGGTGTTGGTGTGGATGTGGAATGAAGTCTACTGTGTGGCAACGCTTACCTGAAGAACTCTTTTGGTCAGTCCTGTCTTTTGGGAGAGCTGTTTTAAGTCCTTGGCATCTGGGTTGTGGTTTATGGCGAAGTAGGACTTCATGGTGCGAAGCTGATGGTGTTTGAATGACGTACGCATGCGCTTGGACTTCTGGGATGGAGGGTAGGGTTGCTGATCCCGATCCAAATGGTCCGCATCGTTCTCGTTACAACCTGAGAGCCGGAACAGGGCAAAAATATAGCAATGAGAATTCTGAGACATTTCTGAGAGAGTTCACGAAGGTCAGGATTACATTTGACTTGGATATGACTGGTCAAACTCTACACTGGTGATTCAAATACAGTGCAGTGCAAGGTATAATAATACAGAACTGCAATAAATATGGATCACTTGATGGAAATTTGATTTTAGACAAATTTGACTTAATATTAATGATTAAAAAACATGACACGACTAAATTAAATGAATATGAATAAATTGGCAATTCACCCCCAAAATGCATTTATACAGTATATAATAACTAAATTCAAAGCAACTGCTTTAAGGCATGTTTGACAAGTATTTTTACCATTTATAATATTCATCTGAGATTTGTCTCTATTTCATCTTGATAATTCATTGTGATTAAATGTATAAACAATATCAGCAAACTACGTGCAAAAACAGCTAAAATGATTTAATAAGCAAAAGTGTCAGTTGTAGGCTACATGTTAAATCGCTGCTTCATGTGATTCATTTGGTAATTGATTCGATCGATGCTCATTTCATCTTACCGTTTACTTTTGTATTTACAGCCGTAAAAATATAAACAAAACTGCAAAGCAAGGATTAATATGAAATTTATATAGCTGTGCGGAGAACAAAATTTTCTCACGCGTGTTTGCTTCGAAATCCAGATTTCTTTTTTGCCACCAGAGGTCTCTATCTACAAATGTCTATGCAACAAGTCAACTGTTGTATTGGGCTTTTTAACTAATGTAAAAATATACGGTGCTATTTCAAATTATATGAAATTTTGAAATGCAAAATAAAAAATTTTTGTATTAAAAATAAATAATTCGAGCCCATATTGTAAAACAATAGCAGAACAACAAGCAGAAAAAAAATAAAAGGAAGACAAAAGATAGAAACAAAAGAATGAATAACTTACCACCAGAAATAATGATTATAAACAAAAATGCTTAAATGCTAAAACCACCGAAAACGACAATAATAATTGCCTAAAAAAAAAAAAAAAAAAAAACTCAATAATAACGTGAGAATGATTACAACCGTTTCATTTTGTAAGGCAAACTACATCTTAAGTCTTGATAAAATATTACAACCTTCACAACACGTCAGTGTTAGGATTTTTTTTTTTTTTTTTTTTTTAAGCTTAAGAGTTTAAAGTCGGACTGATGTGCGTAAAGTGTTCCAAACAGTCCTGAGAACAGCGAGGACCTTGAAGTGGCTTGAATCGGAGCTGATCGAGAGCCAGAGATTCCGACGTCGCATTCAATTAACAGAGAACAATTAACAGGCAGATTACCCTTATTTCTCTCCATTCATGAAGAACGGCAGAAACTTGGCACACAAAGCCACATTTTCCCAAGCAGACAGTAATCGTAACAGCCAAAACAAAACAGGCGCAGCGGGGAGGCATTATGACGAAGTTATGAACTCCAAGTATAAAAATTAAAGAAAAAAAGCGGGGAACGTGAACAAATGACTGGTAATGTGAGGGCAGATGCAGGCCTGTAGGTGAGGGATCTAGGCTACATTGCACGTGGGGCTGGGTCACGGGTTCACTCCTTTGAGAATTTCAAATGAGATGTTTGATGACGCACTAATGAGCGAGGCCTATAATTAATCAAATCCAATCGTTAACAAGACACAAGCGCAATATTTTTTCTGTCGCCGAAATAAAATCCGAACACAAAATTAATGTCAAACAATTGACGAGGAAAAATTGAGGTTAACACTTTACATTAGCTTACACTGTCTATATTACACGAATCCCATTATTTTAGTAGGCTGTGCTTGCCTATAATACAATACTATTTTTATAGGCTACCTATATTATAATCTACAGTAGAATGAACTATATGCAGATGTAGGACATTTTTCGGTAGCTAAATTCGCGACAGAGCGCGTATTTTGGGCTACTCACTACTCCCAGCAGTTTTTATGCTACAAGCATCCTAAATGTAGGCTAAATATAATAAAACGTTATTTAATGTGTGCAATAGGCGTCTGAACACACCAAAAACGCTGCTTTTCACTTGAACTGAACGTGTGACGGTGACTTTAAGTGTATAGTTAAAAAACAAAAAAAACTAAGCTAAATCTTAATCAAAAATGATTATTAGAATATCATAGTTGGTTTGTTAATTGTCCAAGATGATCTACAAGCTTGACCAAGGCCCTGCCACCTGATAATCCATCTGACGCATTATCTAGACCATCTTGGACCAACTAATGGACCAGCATGGTCCAACATGAAACCATGAAACAACCAACAGCAACAAAAAGAGAAGTAACGCGTGTGTATTCCCACGTCGATGCCATTCTGAAGGCTATTATAGAAATTATACAGGCTCCACTCCTTGTATGGTATATGCCATGCTAGCCCATAACAGTACGAAGATTAATGATCATAATCTCGCAGGACAAGTTTTAAAAGTGTCCCACTTTCGCTGAAAGACCCCGTCCCACGTTATCTACGCTCTTAGAAATAAATATTCTTTATTGGCATTGATGGTTCCACGAAGAACCTTCAAACATAAATGGAACCTTAAGGCGTGTCAGGTTATTAAAATTCTTCACACTAAGAAAAAAAAAAAAAAAAGGTTATTTAAAAAAAAAGGTTCTTTGGGGAACTAAAATGGTTCTTCTATTGCATCGCTACGAAACCCCCTTTAGGGCACTTCAGACAGATTCTTACAAATAGCGCAATGCAAGTTTGCAATATATAAAATCAATATGAATACCTTTGAGAAATGCATTTTTATTATTATTTAGGGTATAGAGATTCTTCTGATTATTATTGATTCATGCATTTGGTTGTCTGCTGATATTTAAACGCATTTGTCCATTTCCCCACTAATTCTAAAAGTAAAAATCAAAGCAATGTTTATCGAAAGCTCAATTAATTCACATTATGTAGCTAAATAAGCTGCAACATTAACACTGAAGGACATAAATTGCAACCAAGGTAAATTTCAGGCGTCCATTTGACTCCAGCTCTCAATGCACATCTCACCTGAGTTGTAAGAGCCGATATCTATTCCCATCGCCGGACTCTTCCTCTTCCGCGGCCTTCCTTTCTGCACCGTGCCGGTGCCATTGAAGTAAGGCAGCGCGAGCCCTCCGCCTTTGGCCGCTAATTCAGCGTAGTTTAATTGAGGGCGATACTCTCCCTGAATAAGAGTCTCAAAGTGAACCCGGCAGTAAACCAATTTGTCTTTCATGCCGAAATGGTCACCCGTGGTCAGTGTTTTGTTGCATGTGGTGCAGGTGAAGCAGCTCAGATGGTACACGGAGTCCTTGGCACGCATCACCATTTCCGAGGCGGAGATGCCGAGGTGGCAGCGGGCACATCTCTGCACGGAGAACCTTCTGGAACAGCACACGCCGTTTATAATCAAACTAATCACTTGGATCGGTGATAACTTTAATTAGGTCATTTACAACAAATCAGAAGCACGTGCACCTATAGTGAATATTCACTGAAGATGTTTTTAAACGCATTATTTTCGAATCATCTGTTAACAAATCAAGGCAGTTAAGCAATATTATTTTAACTTTATAAACAAAGTCGAATGTGTTTTAATTGAAACCAGAACACAATTATATCGGATTTTCTTTAGCCTAAATAAAAAAAAAACTGCTAGTTTAACATTTAGGTGGCAGTAAAAACAAACAGCAAAAGATTTGAGCTGAGAAACAAAAACACAATTTAGACATGCATTCAGCATTAATTAATTAGACTTATTAGATTAATTTAAGCGTGTCGGTTAATCACTATATGGGTCAATGGCTGCCTCTGATGTCACCAGTTCTTTATACGAGTTTAAAAAGTTACCAACCAAACTGAATAAATTGTAACATGTAAATTAACTGGTTTTATTCAAAAGAAAAATATTATTTAACATCACTGAACCAAACTATATACACCAATTTATACCAACAAAACTCATTTTTAGGAGCTAAATCAGGTGGAAATAGCTATTTTTTTACAATGCAGGGCCTACAGGCCTAATGCACGATATAAGTGAAAGCTTACCTGTAGTAATCCTCTTTGCAGTAAATGCTGCCATCCTTCGCGAAACACGTCAGCTCGGATTCAAGGGCCAGTTTACATTCACAACACTTGAGACACCTTAAATGCCATTGTTTATCAACGGCGAGTAAGTAGTATCTGTCGGAGATTTTCCCACCGCAGCCGGCGCACAGCGCAGGCTTCTCTGGGCTCATGGAGGGCATCGTCTTCAAAAAATAAAACATCAAGAGATGGAGTGAATGAACGTGTTTGCGTTCAGCAATTGATGCCACAATAACTAAATAAAAAACATCGCCTGAAAACAATTT